TAGAACCCCCGGCCGCCTGCAGGCATCAGGCGACCACAACGGCTCAGGTCAGGGCTGAAGCGCCTCCGAGCACGAGGTGCTCCGCCTGGTCCAACTGCATCCCGGCGCAACGGCACCCGGCACCACTGTATCCGACACCCGTAACGTCTCCAGGGTTAGCCCAAAATTTATGCCTGTCTCTAAGCTGACGTTTTGTATTCCAATACCTCAGTGAGGCCACCAGGCTAGCCTGCCCGGGCAGCTCTAACAGCCCGACTGCCCCACGTGGATATGCTAGAAGGATTCAGCAGAGGTTTTTCTAGCTTCATTCTGCCGCTAGCAACCTTCACATGCTCAGAGGACTCTCCAGTCCTCTCCAGCTATGCCTGGGCTTGCTGCAACCCACTGCCCATCTCCACAGCCCTTCCTCCAGCGAGCCGTGAGAGCAAGCAGCAGCCACCAGCCCCTGCGCCACCACCGCCACCATGGAGGCTGCGTTTCAATGACACAGGAGACTGCAAGTTTACTCTGTTGACTTGAAAGTAGGATAAACAGCAAAAACTTGGCAAGGGCTAGCATAAACAACCGCCCTTACCACCACTCATTCCTAAGGGTCGTGTTCATCTCTCCAAGTGGGAGCAGCAGGGCTGGACAAGCCCAGGGATGGGCTGGGGGGTGGGTTAACACAGTGCCGAAGAAGCCCCTTGCAAGGGGGTGAGACACAGCGGAGATGCACAGGGCTCCCAGCACCCCTCACCGCACGGCCAGGAGGGCTGGGCACTAGAGAAAAGCCATTTTCTTTCTCCTTGGGAGCAAAGCACGGCTCAGACATCTCACCGCTTTCTGGCTGGCAGCACCAGGGATGAAGCACAGGTTTTGCTGGCCTGGGCAGAAGACCTTTTGGCTCCCCTTGTCTCTTTCCTGCTATAACCATCCCCAAAACTACAGGTGTGGAGAACAGAGCGGCCTGTCCTGAGGTGCTGACTGTGGCACAGCTGGGGTTGGACACTGTGTCAGCATCTGTCAGGAACCAGCACCGCCACAGGAAGAGCAGAGGATTTCCTGGCAGGAATCAAATATTTCTCCTGTCTGGGCTGACCGTGACCTGCCTGCAGGTCCTCTCCAGCACTGACAGCCAGGTTTGGAGACCGGAGGGACCCATATCTCACCCATCACTCCGAGAGCGGTGCACCTCGCTGACATGTCAGGCTCAGGCAAGCAGCATGCTCCAGGCTTGGAGACACCCAGGTAGAAATGGGCCCTTTAGTGGCCACTGGCAGTGAGGAGAGCACCAAAGAAAAGATCCCTACAACCACAGGAGCACAGGCGGAAGGGGCATCCAGAGGTCTCTGGTCCAACCTCCCACTTCCAGCAGGATTGTTGGCAACACGAGATCAGGGCAGCCATGGCTGAGGCTATTCATCTAGCTGAGGCTTGGAAACCACCAAGGATGGTTTTTTCTGCCTTTTTTTACAAGTTTTTCCTAATACCCAAGCCAGACTTCACAAGCTGCCCCTGCAGTATCATCTGCTGTGGCCAAGAAGCGTTTGGCTCAGTGATCACGGCGTCTGCCTCTCAGGTCGCTGTACCTGTGGTTAGATACCCTCAAGCCTTAGATACCCCATATGCCACCAGACTGTGCTGGCCCAGATCCCGCCTCGTTGCAAGTCACGTGGCCCTAGCCCTGACCATCCCGGTAACCCCGCCGGACCCTCTCCAGTGTCCCCATAACCCCCTTGAACTGGGGACCCAGACTGGACGTGGTACCCCAGGATGGCCTCCCTGGCACCAAGTGGAGGGCTAGCAGCTGCCCTTGCTCTCTTGGCCACCGTCCCGCTCATGTAGCCTGGCACGTGGCTGCCTCATTTGGGATGAGCATGCACTGCTGGCTCAGATTTAACCTGGCGCCCACCAGAACCCTCCAAAGGTACCTCGGCTCCTTCCAGCGTCCCTCCCTGCATCTTTGTCCCGGCAGAGCTGGCGGATATACATGTTTGCTTGGGATTTCTGCATGCTCCGAACTGCCTGAACGAGCGATTTTGCCAAGGCAAAGGAGGCTGGGGAGATTCCTCATGCCTGATGCCCCAAAACCTCACTGCAAGGACACTGGGCAGTAGGCAGGCAGTGGGGCTGGCTCTGCCCAGAGCATGGCCTACGCCAACTCCCCGCTGGCCGGCGAAGGGCTGGGCTGGGGCTGGGGGGGTCACTTCCCCACTGCTGTTAATTTTAAAAGGAGAGCAAAGCCAAGTACTTACACGGCTCCCTGGCGATGAACTGAGGTACGGCGTTGGGGAGAGGCGTGCTGGGGTTCGGCGTGCCCACCAGTTTGCTCTTGGCCATCTTGGTGTTTGCCTTGGCGAACTCCAGGCGGAGCGTCTGGGGAATCTCGGGGTCGAAGCGGATGCCCTTGGCGGAGGAAAGGAAACTCAGGCGGTCAGCGAGCAGGGCGAACAAAACCCAAAGAGCCCTGGCGTGAGGGAAGGGGGTTCAGCCGTCCACAGCGCCTACAGTGGCCTAATCCTGCCATGGTGCAGCTGGCACGTTTCCCGCAGGCCTCATTCAGTCTCTCTTGCACGCACAGACCCTCTCCCACACCTCCACCCCCCCCAATTCCAGCTGCAAAACCAGCTCCAATGACTTGTTCGGAAAGTTAGGTCCATAGCTTGGGCCCGTTTGTTTTTTCTGCTGATAAAACATTCACTAATAAGGACTTTGTTTTCCTGATTTTGTCCCTCGGTCACATAAGGAACCTTCAGCTGGCTCGCAGGCTGCTCTCTAATCTGGACTGAACGATGCTGCGGTGTTACGGGGATGGAAACATATTTCAGCCGTGGAGACGACGTTTTGCATGCCCCAACTACAAAACATCCCCGCTCATGGCGAGACATTTACGTTGGGCCAGGGGGCTCGGCTCGCTTAACCGTGAGCTGCTGCCGGCGCGTGGCGTGCCCGGAGTGAGGGGGAAGCGATGCTGCTGCTGCTGGAGGAGAGGCAGAGGGGGAGCCTCAGGGAATTGCTTTTAAAAGGAGCAACGCTCCCTTTGAGCCCAGACACAAACGATGCTGCGCGGAAAGGGGAGTCCGGGCAGGGCGGATGTGAGGTGGCAGCTTCCTCAATGCCATCGTGCGTGGTTACAGGCAGAAAAAGCGATCCTGGCACCTCATCCAGCATGTTTTCAGGGCAAGTGAGTACACACGTGGGGGCAGGCAGAAAGCCCCCCGCCTCCTCCAGTGTGAGCCCTTTCCACCGCCTCCCAGAGCCCCGCAACAAAAATAACCCCAGATTTTTGTCCCCGGTTCAATTTTCAACATCCTTGCAAACTTCCAAAGTTTAAATGACCTAATTTGTTTGGCAGCGAACACCGAGGCCGTGGGCCCTCAACGACTCGCATTCCTCTAACATCTTTAGGATCAGCACCATATTTGGTAGTCGGCATCCTGCTCAGCCAAGCTCTTATCCAGAGGGATTAGCAGAGCCAAAAATATTTTAAATTTAAAATGAAGACAAGGAAAAACACAGAAAGGCATTAGAGAACTGGCTTCACGCTGTTATCCCTGCCTGATGAGATTACTCGGTGGGCTGGGTGATTTTACCCACTGCATCAGCAGCAGCGGTTTAACTCTGCAAAAGTAGAAAGGAGCTGCTAAAGGAAAGCAAAATCTGCTCTTTTTCCCGCAGCAGAAGTAAAGCCGACGGTGGCTGAGAGGTGCCTCCCCAAAGAGCTCTGCCAAACGGCAGTGCCGGCACGTCCGAGGCCACGACGAAGCAGTTTGGGGGCACTGAGAGATGCCGGTCCCCAACCCGAGCCGCTGTCCTGGGGTCCTGGCACCTGGGGGCTGCGCCTCTGACGGCAAGAGCAAGGCGAAACCAGGGCAGCGAAAGGCTGCCAGCTGGGGGCAGGGGCCTCGGTTAGCCTGACATGCAAGGGGACGAGACAGCCGCACCTCTGAGCTTACACGACCGGGGAAAGCAGGTCCCGGCGGGTGCTGTCGGCCAACAAGCGCTCCAGGAGCCCCGGAAAAGCAGACCGGTGTGATGTTTCCTGGAGAACGGCTTCCCGGCCCTGCGTTTCCTCTGCCAGTTTACAACCGCCACCTGGTTACGAGACACCTCCGGCACGGGCTGGACAACAGTATGTTCCCAGGCTGTTTTTCCAGCCCACGCTGACAAACTGTGGCATCTCCTGCTCAGACACCGAGCCCTGCGATACAAAACCCTGCGTCCTGGGAGCTGGTGAGAGGTTCAAGGCTGGGCAGACATTTTTTCCCACACATTTTTTTCATCTCTCTGAAAGCTTTTGCAGCTTTAGCTGCTATTTTTCCCACTGAACAAACAGGAAACTCTGGGAAAGGAGTCGCTCTCTGACTCATATCTAAGAGCCTAATCCTCATTTAGATAAAGCTTTACGTTTTCCAAGTGGGAAAGGAGCTGAGGAGGTGCTGGGATTATTGTCCGACAAGTGATATCGCACTGGCTAGCATGACAGCCACCCAATTTAGTGCAACTCACGGCAGGGAGCCACCTAATTTAGTGCATTGGACCAAAGGCAGATAGCCAACAGGGACAGGAGGTAAACCTGGCTGTGTCTCTGTACCAGGATGTGCCTTTCCAAGGTCAAAACCCTTGCCGTGTTCAAGACCATGAAGACCTCTTCCCCTGTTACCAGGATCACCCTTGGAAAGGAAGAGAGCAAAGTATTAAGGAATGTGGAGGTCTTCAGAGGCTTGATACGGCCCTCAACAGTCCCGTCGCTCCTCCTGACTTCCAGCGTGGTTGGAAAAGCTGCTCCTTTTTCCTGGGAGCCGCTTTTTGCCGTGGAAGCTCCTCGCTCGAGCCGGCCCTGCACGTACAGCAGATTCGTTTTACGAATTTTACGAATCTGCTTGCGTTTTCCATGAGGCGTTTCAAGCCAAGCGGCAGAATTACGCAGAGCTGCTGCCGCAAGCGCAAGCCCTCCTGGGGCCCAAACCACGCTTCCCATTTCCTGAGCCTCTTGCTGACACGCTCGTGTGCTTCGGTTGCTGCGCTTTTTTTCCCAGCCTGCCTAGATCCAGCTGCTACACAAACATGTATCCCAGGAGCCCTTGAAACCATCCTGAATTGTCCTGCCAACCATGCAAGAGACCTTGTTTTCCCCCGACACGTCTGCCCAGACCTCAGCAGTGGGGGCAGAGCTGGGCCCGGAGAGAGCGCCAGCCACCCGCAGCAGCGTGGCAGGACAAAGCCACCACAGCACCAGCATCCTCAGAGCACAGTGAGGTGCCTCCCTCTCACAGGGGTCACGTCACCCGCACCACCCCGCGGGGACCGCAAACCCACTGCAGGCGGAGGTGCTCACAAGGCTGCAGCAGACTCGAAGTGAGGGTGCTGCACAGGGGAAGCGCAAGCTGGTGCTTGCAGAACGGAGGCAGCCGCTTCCTTTGACGATGCTTTTTTAACGGCGCGTTGTTTATGTATGTGATGCCTGGGACGGTGTTTCCTTAGCACGGCTGGGCTGTGGGTCACCCCCTCTCCTTCCCACCGACCCCACAGACCTGCCTAGGCACACGGTTTGGTCTATCACCTGCAGCCTAAGTTGGCAGCTCGCAACGCAGCTCCCAAGCTCAGCAGGCCCAGGCTGAGCTCGCAGCAGGATGAAGGGCCTCTGGAGGATGGGCTTTCCTTCAGGTCTGTCCCAAGCCCCCAGGCTGATGCTGCAGCACCAGCTCCAAGGAACTGCCCTCCATCAGCACGCAGGGGCTGCCGCGGGGATGAGCCCGCCTGCTTTGCAAGGGAAAACTGTCTGGAAAGGCTTCCCGAGGTTGAGAGGGAACCAGTGCTGCCGCATCACCTCCCACTCCGTAATCCCCCACAGACAGGAGGTCGGAGACCTGGGCGCTGGCTAACGTCAGCCAGACGGGGTCCTGAGACAGGGCCCCTCGCTGTCTGGACTCCCAAACGCAAATGTCAGCCGTCTCCATAAATAACGTCCCCCCTCTACACCTCCCTGTAATCTTTTTCCTCCCCTGCTAAAAGCAGGGGAGGCCAGAGGCTGTTCATGCAGCACCTCTCCCCCACGGGCACCCCCCGAGCGAAACGAGATCAAACGTGCCAAACAGCTCCAAATAAATCCAGGATCTGGAGAGCGGGGGAGAGCAGGGTGGACACATTTGCTGCCGTCACTAGTGCAAACGTGGAGGCCCCTGGCTGGCTGCTGGCACGCTGGAAACCTCGTTGGGAAGCACTCTGCCCCCGCGCATCAGCTTGGCCCAAATCGTCGGCCTCCCAAAACCGAGGTACCGGTCTAAAAAAGGGAAACGCAAGCTCTCCAGGGCTATTTTGCTGCTGTAGACAAGAGGGATGTTTTAAGAGCTTTGATGCAGTGATAAGTTGGATATCAAATGAGTGGAACAAAGTGTGTTCATTTACTGGAAAAAAATAACCTCTTCAGTGCCTGCATCTGGCTTGGAGCAGTGTTTGGGATGTCCCTGTGCACACACGTTCTTGCACAAACACGCACACACACACACACAAGCACATATGCGCACATATGTGAGCCTACCCTCACGCGCATGCTGTTATGCACACAAACACACACACACTCTTACACTCATTCACGCAGTCTGATCGCTCCCACAACACTGCTAGCAGTAAGGAACCAGGTTCAAACCAACTGAGCAGGTTAACACTGATCTGGAAGTGTCATCATCTATGCAGCCACGTGTCTTCCTCTCCCCTGCCAGGTAAAAGCAAAAAGGGGCTACAAATTCTTCCCGACAGATGGCCAAATGATCTGCACTTTGTAATCCTCTTCCAGCACACTCAATGGAGTGTGCAGAGCGCAAGGGCAATGCTCTGCACAGAGAAGTCCCCGTGAGCCCGTGCACTGGGACACAGCCCTTTGCTCCGCATTGCCAGGACGGAGACGGGACAGCCGCCAGCTCTTGCTGGGCCTGGCCCAGGAAAAGATCCTTGGGCCTGTTGGTAAAGGCCAGCTTGAGCCACACATAAAGGCTCTCTCCAGAATTAGCCTGCAGGCAGTACAAACAGCTGGGGCCAAGCAGGGAGCGCATGGATTTGGCAGTGCGTACACACCCCAGAGCTACTTCCCTTGCTCCAGTGACTTACTGTGGCTGCAAAGTGCTACACTGTCCACAGGAAAAACTGCAAGTACCCACAGTGCTCAGGGGAGCTGGTAGGACTTTCCTGGATGCTCTTATAGAAGATGTGAGTTCAAACTTCCCTAGCAAGAAGCCTTGGCTAGGTGCTCTTATCTCAGCCTTTTTTGGGGAGGTGGGAGAGGGGAGACAGAACATAACCTCCTTCCCCTCCAGGAGCGATTAACTAATTCTAGCCCTAAAAGAGAAAAAACAAGAATTCCAGCCAAATCTTGCAAATTGAGACCAAGTTGGCTATTATGTTGGAGACAAGAAAAATATCTTCACTGTGACATGTGATCTTCACCACAAGGTCTTCACTTCTGGCATCTTCACTCTGGCATTTCCATCCTTGGAGACCATCAACACTCTGAGTTAGCGCTCCGAAAGTCCCTTCCCCACTAAATCTCTCCATGCTCCTGTGATAAGAGTTGCCCGGTTCCAGTGCTGGTAACACAGGCCTCAGCTGCAAGAAGGCAGAGGCTACCTGCTTTACAGAAAACAGAGAAGCCAGCAGAAAGCCTTATCTCCCCAACATTTTTTAAAGCTGGACTAAGACTTGACCATGTGCCAACACAGTGAAAAAATGAGGCCAGCAAAGAGAAGCCATTATAAAAACGGGAGTGAGGGATGGACATTAGGAAGTAGTGGAGATTACAATGATAGCAGATGATAAGTAGCAGATCAGGAAACGGTTGGAGAAATGGGACTGTATTCAAGCTAGCAGGTGCGGAAGATACACATCCCCAGGCCAGAGAAACTTGGAGAGCGACTAGCAGTCATTTGGGGAAGGAGAAATGGGGGAGGAATTCAGTGACGAGAGGAAAAAAGGAGTGAGCTCTTTCAGCATCCTGAGAGAGATCCTGTCGCTTGAGTTGCTGGAGAAAGGGCAGAGCCCATGAGCACGAGCGCTGAGCAGCGCGCAGCGTATTTCTGAAGGCCAACCACCCTCATTCCTGCCAGGTCCACACTCACCTCGTAAGCATGGGATCAAAACATGACGGTGTAAGCGAGCTGCCCTTCCCTCCCGGCGGACACAACAGCTCTCACAGGCTCTTACAGACAAGCGCAGTGTTAGTGGCCGCTAATCAAGGAAAGATGGTTCTCCCCACCTCCAGGGCAGCAAGCACACACGACTCCTCTGCCAGCAGTACAGTTCCCCATCCCTCCCCAGGGCGCGAGCCCTGGCACAAGCCGCCTGGAAGGGCACCGCGTACTTACGTTCAGAGCGTTCTTAGCAGCTTCTGCTTCAGAGCGGCTGTCAAAGCTAACGAACCCCACGGGCTGAGGAGGGAAGAGAGGAGAGGTGAGTCAGGCAGGAAGGGGAGCAGTGACGCCTCCATAAGGTGTGCACAAAGCAGTTCCCTGGGATGGGAAACGCAGATCTGGGATCTGCGCCTAGCGACGGTCTTGGCATCATGGCGGGGCTGGGGTCAGGTGAGGCTTTCAGGGCAAGGGCCAGACATTTAGTTTGGTACCCAAGCAAGAGGGCAAGGCCTTGGAGCAGCATTCTCTAGGGAGGCACAGAAGGGCCACAGCCTAAGGCAGACAGGCTCTGCCCTCTGTCTGGAGGACAGCCTGGTTTCACTGGAGCCCTCCGCTGCAAAAGGCGTCTCGTTCCAACGCAAGGGCTGAGTCCAACAGCCCTGTGACCCTCCTGCTCCTGGGACACCTGCCCTGATCACCCCTAAATGGGCCCTTGCCTCTGCTGTAGATGCACGGCTCTTCCACTGGAAGCTGAGCACTCCCAGCAGTGAGACTGTGTGAAAATCAGGGGATCTGGAGAGATGAGGAAAAGAGAGGACCAGACTAAGCCTGGAGCTTAGGAGAGATGAGACCCTGTGTTGGGACACTATTCCCAAATCGCACAGCGCTGGCAACTACAAGCACCCAGTTCTGCAAGGCTCTTACCTGCTTAGACGTAAGTTTTATAAGAGACCCTTCATATCCCTGCAAGAAACGAGAGAAACCATGTTTAGCCAAGATCCTTGCGAGATTGCAGAAGACAGATAAGGCTCAGCACAGACAACCAGAGACTGATGTTATCGATCCCTCAGCATCTGAGCAAGCTTTCCCCATGCAGCCATGGAGCAGAGCATGTTGGACCAGGACACAGCCGCTGCAACAGCAATGCCTGGACTTGGGAACAGTTGGCCACCAACAAGTCCTGCCAAGAAGGGAAATTTAGCCAGGGAGAGGCTCATGCTCCATCTTCTCTGCCTGGGAAGAGTAAACTGCAGAGGCAGGCGCAGGAGACAAGGTTTTGAGCGCTCGGTTAGGAGGGCTGTTGGCAAAGAGATGCTCCGCTCCCGAACGTGGAGACCCTGCCTCTGCCTTACTGTCGCCCAGGCTGCTGGAGGTTGCGCTCAGAAGCAGAAGTGCCAACACTGTAGGGCACTTGTTGTTCCCTACCCTTTCAACCCCACTAGCCCTTTGAGACGGAAACGTACATTATCTGTGACTCTGCAGTAAAACAGTTGGGGAGTATTAGGCAGACATGATAGTGAGCTTGTTACAGCTGTAAAGTATTAGCACAGGCTCAGGGACTCTGTGCCGCTGAATTTTTTGCATGGCTGTTTAATGCCTGATCGTAGCTCGATAATACCATCTTTTGTATTTTAAAAGAGCCAGTATCTGAGCTCTAGATCTGGCACGGTCAAGAAACACAGTGGGGATTTTGAGAGGTTTAAAGTCAATGCTCTTCTGCTATTAAATGGGGTGCAAATCACAGTGGAATTTAAACCTCTGTGTAATCAAAGAGCCTGATACCATTTCTCTATGTTTTACCAGGGGAAAAATGTGCAGAAACTTGTGTGAGTGAATGAAAGGACCAAAGTGGGTTTTCTCTGGGAAACCAGTGGGCTTCCAGAACCTGCTAAGGTCAGAGACAAACAGCCCATATGTTTTGCCCAGCCTTGCCAGGAAATACTGTGGTGAGGACTGGAAGCAAGCTCACACCTCCTGAGTCTTGCCGCAAGTACCCCAAACTGGGGCCCAGCCTGGAGCAGGGAATGGGTTTCTAATGCATTTGCAAAGGCCAGGTCCCCACGACACACCCCCAGACACCCCACCTGACCTTACACCGCTCCGCTTACAAGGGCTCTTTGCTACTCAGGTATGTTACCGTCTCTTGCAACCCTTCTTGCTCTCAGGTCTGCAGAAGCATGGTGACATCGGGATGGCGCAGGTTGCCAGCTGAAGCAATGTGCTCCATGGTCACCACTGCGCTCTGCTGCTGTACAGATGTTTGCAGACCACCTCTCCCCCCAGAGGACACGGATCTGGTACCTTAAAGGGCCTGAACAGCAGGTAGAGTTCCCGGGGCTTGATGTCCAGGGGCAGCCCACTCACAAAGAGTGTCCTGACCTAGAAAAGAAGGAGGAAGGTTCATGGGGAGCCTCTTCCTGTATCTCTGGAACAGACTTGTAAATAATGCAGATAACCCACATTGCGGACACTTGCAAGAGCCGTAAGTGTAAGTGGCAGCACATGAGAGAGATGCACACTGTAGAAGGACACACTGCGAGCACTCAGGCCCACAGCAGGACATGTGGTGGTTGGCCACCTTTCATCCCTACAAGAAGGCCCCATCTGCTCATACTCGCAGGCGGTGCTGCTGCCTCCGTTCAGTTGCCATTCTCCTGCGACGTGTGTCTGCAGGGCTTTGTGCCCCCTTTTCCCCTCGGAGACTCTTTGAAGTAGTGGTTGAGCTCTAATACATAGTGTAAAGACCTGTCCTAGAAGGGGACAACTCCAAACAAAGGGAAATTTAATGGACAGCTAAATGCCTTAAGACACTTATGGGATGAAGCATTTTTCTGGGGGTGATCCTCTCCCTAAAGTGACCACAGAACAAGCTGTTTAGATTAGACACCTGATGGTGAGATGGTTTAAAGTTAGCTGAAACTAGTCCTAGCCACATGGAGCGTCACCAGCGTGTGCGGCACCTAAGAAGCCTCACTCAGCTAAAGATCTTCTGGGTGGAAGAGGCTACACTTCCCCGTGCCTTCCTACACAGTCTGCAAAACAGGATAGCTTGCCAAATCAACAATAGAGCCTTTATTCTGCAAACAATGGCTATTGTCTTTGTGAGGTTTCAATCCTGGAGCAACTAATTAAGGACTGAAAGAAGCAAGCCTGAACTATTTCTTCTATAGTACAGGAATGTCAGTGTTTTGAACAGAGCTAATTTTAAGTAGTCTGTCGAGATTTATAAAAGTCACCTTTTAACAGTGTCTTTAAGGATTTTAACTCCTTCTGGGTGGATCTAAGTGTGGTGACACAGTGTTTGCTGTCATGCAGCATCTTGAAAGTAGGGACAGCTTGCAGAAATCCTGATTCCACAAATAATGATAGCAACAAGATTGAGAAAGTGAGAACTTAATCAGTTCCCCCATGGAAACATATTAGGTCTCATCAACATGGAAAATCAGACTGCACTGGTAGATCACAGCACTCTGCAATAATCCCTCACGGAGTTATAAAGTCCTGGAGAGATCAGGTAAAAATAATCCCACAGTAGTAAACTCTGCTGAATAAATAAGCCCTGAAAGTCCTCCCTTCCTCTTTCTATCAACAACTCACGCTGTGGCATCCAGCAGTGTCCATAGGGAGCTGATTTCCCCTCGGCACAGCGGGAATGGCAGGTAAGGCCAACCTCTCACCTCCGCCTAATTGCCAGAGTTGGCAAATATTGTAAATTCCTCCTGGCCAAGTGAGGGCGTGCTACTTGGCCGTGCTACGTGCAGAGGGGATGCAGCTGCCCAAAGCCCCTGGGGTTGCTAGCTGCTTCCTTACTGTGGAATAACTTGCTTGTCCTTGAAAGCCTATTTAAAACATTAGGGCGAAGCACTCATCTTTGAGTCTTTACTAAGGAAACGAAGCCTTGCTCTTACATGTGCACCCCTCACGCACCTTCCCCCTCACCCTGGGGAACCAGACGCACCCTCCAGAGGCTCCAGAGCTTTGATATCAGCTCATTTCCTCCAGGCCAGACATAAGCTCAAATATACGCTCAAAGGATCAAAAAGCAAACTGCGATAGTAAAAAGGCACAAGGGCAGGGGGAGATCCCTTGCTCATAGGGATCCTTTGATCCTACTGTTCAAATTGCTCCTACCATCCAAACGGGGATAGGGAGCACTTTCTTTGCCTCTCCCGGCAAAGAAAACATTGGCCCTTCTGCTCAGAACAATGCTTGACCTGAAGAAGAACAGAGGAGGTGGACACACTGAGATGCTTCGGGAAACGGAGAAAATAGGTGATAGAAAGGGATCAGACTGGTTATTTTGAACCCACCAACACAAAGCCCGAGAAGGACATGATGGCTTCATAAATACACTCAGGTAAATGTCAAGGAGGGAGAAGTTTTATTTAGAGTGAAGAGCAGTACCCGTATGAGCTCCAAGGAGCTGCGCACTTGAACTATTTTCTGCAAATCCCCAAGACAGCTCGTGGGTCTCGCTTCTCCCTTTTTGGAGGCTGAGGCATAAAACCAGCAAGGTCACATCCAAAACGCTTCATCTCCTCCCACAGACCAGTCTTGTTGCCAGTGGCAAGTTCACTTGCCAGATGCTTGCCAGCCCTTCTCATTAGGCACTCGTTCAGGGACCATGAGTTGCGGAAGGCCTGTGTGCCTCGCACCTCTCTTGAAAAGTCGTAAGTGATCTGCCACTTCATTGCCCAGTTTCAGCTTGCTGGGGCTGCAGAGACCAAGGATGAAACACTTGCTTTAAAACCATGAGGCGCACCACAGCCGCTCCGAAACGGGGGTCTCTTCCAGTCTCCAGGGCCACATGGTTGCTCCACATGAAAGACTCTGCGGCTAATCAGGTGGGAGCTAATCTGAGTGGTATGACCTGCAGCAACTCGCCAAAGAAATCCCTATCTCGCCTGAAACGTCTTGCAAAGGCTTTTATGCCCGTTGTGTTAATTGAGGCGATCCATTGTGTTAAGCTGTCAAGATGAGCTAGCTTCACGCGACGAAATTGCTGCTCTGCTAATGCAGCAGAAATGAGATCTGCACTTATGTTGGGCTTTTCTAAGGCAGGTAAAGCCCTGCCAGGGTAAAACCCTCTGAGTCAGATCCGGGGTGGGTATAAAAGTTTGGACATTGAGTAATACTTATGCTTTATAACCAGCTTTTAACTGCAGGAGCAGCGTTGCGCGGTGAAGACGAGAGACCGAGAGCTGCATCTGTTGCCAGGCCCTTGCAGCTTATCCAGCAATCTCATCCAAAGACTGACCAGGCAGGAAGCACTGAGCCATGGATCGTGCGGGTTTGGTGCCCGGGGACCCCTCAGAGCTCAGCCTGATGCGTATTGCTTTGAGATCCTGGGGCGGATGAGGCCTGGGAGGCTGGGTTAGGTCTCCCATCGCCGCAGCCTCACTGGGCCCTGATGACTCCATCAGCCTCTCCTGGGGCCTCCACCACCCACACGCCCCTGCCTGTGGCCCCAGGCGGCATCTGGGCTCAGGCCCAGGGCTTGCCCTGGCTACTCTTACTGTCCCAGCTCTGCTTGTTTGGGTGCTGTAGGGCTGCACCCCAGCTGGTGAGGTCCCTGCCACGCTCCCTCGCTATGCCAGCAAAAAGCCCACAGAGGCAGGAGCCAGCCCCCCATCCTCATTCCAAGCGTGGGGTCAGAGCTGGAGGGAGGGAGCACGTTGTTTTTTAGATAGATAGATAGATAGATAGATAGATAGATAGATAGATAGAGATACTGGAGTGAGAAAGCTTCCCTCATCTGAGGTACAGAGGAATTCAAGTCCTTTGGACATGAAGTGCTTTTTAAGCGTCCAAATGCCTTGGGAGAGCTGGGCAGAAGGTTGCAGCAACTCTCAGGTGGACCAGGCCTAGGTAACAAGTTGCCCAGTCTGGATTGGCGGAGAGGAAAAAAACTTGACTTCTGGCCAAGTTTCCCGGCCTGTAGTTTTGCCAGCCCACCCACTATCTGAGCTTAAGTACGGGGGACACATAAAACTGCCAGACCAGGCCTATTCTTCGACTGAAATTTGTTCTTTCTCTTGTAGATAAAAGATATCTAACACATCAC